TGCCCTATCGTTGGTGTCAGTGGGAGGAATAGTGCCCCATCATTGGTGTCAGTGGGAGGAATAGTGTCCCATCATTGGAGTCAGTGGGGGGAGGAATAGTGCCCCATCGTTGTTGTCAGTGGGAGGAATAGTGCCCCATCATTGGTATTAGTGACACCAATGATGGGGCACTATTCCTCCCACTGACACCAATGATACTTACCTTGCTGACCCCTGCTCCAGCCTGGGCTCGCTCGCTCGCTCCCTCCCTCTCCCATGGTACAGACACTTACCGGTCAGCTGTCTTCCTTCTTCGGCCGCTCTCCTCCTCTTCACTCGCTCGATCTTCACGGTGCTGCTCGGCTCCTCCTTTCCAAGCTCCACCTCCTCGCCAGTGATTGGCCGCCTGTGTGCCTCTCCTGAGCTACAGTTCCGGCGGCCAATCACGGGCAAGGATTGATCCCGGGGGTGTGTACAGATGACAGGGGCAGCATGTCATCCCGCCCACACCTGGAGACGGATAGATGAGCGGTGTCTCGGTTCCTAAGACCATCGGAAATATGTGTTTTCCGATGGTCTTAGGAGACCCCTGTGAAAGGGTCGTTCGACCCCCAGGTTGAGAACCGCTGCTCTAAGGAGTATTGGGTTGCAGTTTCTCCTCCAGCCACTAGAGGTCATGGGGCCACTCTCTATAGCCTACACTTGTGCAGTGGAGGTAAGAAGTAGATAGGTGGCTTTTTTAGCTTGAGTTTGTAGTCCCATGTGGCTGGCGGCTTGTGAGGCTCCTGAGAGGTAGCAGAGACATGGAGCAGTCTATGGCTGGATGATGGTGTGTGAGTATTTCCTTGCGGAGTTGATGTCCTAACCAGACAGGACATGATTTTAAACTGCATTAGCCTGCATAATCCTGGGGGCTTGTACAACTGTTTCTTGATACACCCTTGCAGGGGTATTGATGCATTTAAAGGAGTTGAGTCTCCAGAGGAGTTTGGATTTGATCTGCAGGAGCTTACATTTAAGCTGCACTCCAGCTGAGTTTGATACATGTGTTTGCCTAGTATGGAACAAATTGCAGTTAATTTTGACACAGTTCTTTGAAACAATACGCTTCTAGAAAGCGGGACAGTTGCAGCATTGTATTACATTATTGCATGCATACCGCCATTTTTTTTTTAACTGTATATTCCATAAACTGTATTTGTACATGCATACTTACTGCAAAAACTGTATTTGGACATGCATACTTAATGCATAAATTACATTTGTACATATGCATAAACTCCGTTTGTACATGCATGCTTAATGCATAAACTACATTTAAACATGCATACTTAATGCATGTGCTGATTTTTGTACATACATACTTAATACATAAACGGCATTTGTATGTGACTATTTAATGCAAAGGCTGCATTCATGCATGCATACTTAATTCAAAAGTTGCAGTCATACATGCATACTTGATGCTTAAAGCTGCATATGTACATGCATACTTGATGCTTAAATTGCATACATACATGCATACTTAATACATAAACTGCAACATACCTAATTCATAAATTGCGTACATATATGCATACATAATGCATAAACCGTGTACATACATGCATACCTAATGCATAAACTGTACGTACATGCATACTTAATGTATAAACTACGTACGTACATACATACATACATACGTAATGCATAAAAATGCATTCATACATGTATACCAAATGCATACCTAATGCATAAACTGCATTCAGACATACAAACTTGATCCATAAACTTGTTACATACATGCATACATACGCTGCATACGTACTTGCATACTTAAATGCATACTTGCATGAATTGCATACTTGCATAAACTGCATATTTGTACTTGCTTAAGATTGCATACTTACATGCATACTTGTGTGAACTATGTATTGTATAATTGGCATACTTACATACCTGTGGACCTTAATGTTCCTTGCTTAGGGAGTAGTTGGTTCCAAGTTTAAAGTGAAATATAAGAAGCAAAGGGATATCCTTCAATAAGTCTCTGCATGAGGAAACGACATCTACGTTGAAGCGGTTTCCTGCATGCAGTTCCACTCCAGGTCTTTGTAGAGGAACATTCTATCATCAAGATCCCAACAGTAGATGCTGTAGGGCTTTGTTCCCAGGGTATTGCAGTCCAAATTGGTGGTTATTTGTTCAGAATCTGGAGAAGGGGTCATTTTCCTTCCAGTGATATGGAAAAAAAGTATCCAGTGGTGCCAGGCTCTCTGGTTGGAGGGCTGGTTTAAAGGTGTTTGCAGTCAGGGAACTTTGTCTCTACAGGAAGGAATACTTCCCATCAACATCTTGGAATTTCGGGCAGTATGCCTTACTCTGGATTATTGGATGAACAAGTTGCACAGGTTTGTGGTCAGGCTTCTGTCTGACAGTGTCACGGCAGTGGCATATATTAACCACCAGGGCAGCACCAGGAGTCATGCAGTTGAGGCAAAGGTGAACCACATTCTGTCTGGGACAGAACAGCATGTGTTGTCTCTGTTGGCAGTTCATATTCCAGGTATAGAGAACTGTTAGTGGTTTTCATTCCCCGGCTTCAGCAGTTGATACCAGGAGAGTGGTCCCTGCAACCCAAGATGTACTTGGCAATCTGCCAGCATTGGGAAAATCTGGATGGGGATCTACTGACTACCAGGTTCTACAATAAGTTAGGTTGTGTCCAGGATGGGAGCCCCATTAGCATTAGAGGTAACACCTTAGGGACCAAGTCCCTCTAGGCTTTCTTTCCCTGATTTGACTATTGCCATGCCCTTTGCTCAGGATCCAGGAGGAGGTAACACTAATAATAGTGGTAGCCCGGCCTAGCCCAGGAGATTCTGCTAGTCCTGTTGGCCCGGAAGGTTTTATTTCTAGGGGCAATCACTTCTGCAAGAAGGGTGTCGGAGCTGTCAGCTCTTTCTCATAAAGAACCTTTTCTGATTTTACATCAGGTTAAGGTGGTGTTGTGACATCAGCTGTCTTTTTTTTTTTTTTTTTTTTTTTTTTTTTTACCAAAGGTGGTTTCTAGCTTTTATCTCAATCTGGACATTTTTCTGCCTTCCTCCTTTTTTGGGCAAAGTCAGCAAGAGAGAGATCCTTGCATACCTTGGATATGGTACGCGCTATAAAGGGTCTTCCAGAAATTGACTGCACAGGTCAGAAATTCGGATGCTCTTTTTGAACTGCTGGATGGGTCCAGGAGGGGGCAGGCGTCATCCAAGGCAATTATTTCACATTGGATCCGCCAGTTGATCATTCAAGCCTTTTGGAAAAGAACACACTCTTGGGTGATTCACCATCAGGTGTCAGTTGCTCAGATTTGCAAGACCGCTACATGGGCTTCAGTTCACACGTTCTACCAGGTGGATGTGAGAGCCACAGAGGACTCTGCCTTTGGCCACAGCATCTAGCAAACAGCTGAATAGGTCTTGTGGGATTGTTGGCAGTGGTTATCATGGTGTCACCCTCCCCTGAATAGCCTGCTTTGTGTCCCGTGATGTATGATAACCAAAATTGGATTTTTTTCTTCATACTTACCTGTAAAATCCATTTCTTGAAGTACATTTCGGGACACAGAGGTCCCTCCCTTCTTTCTGGAATTCATTGCTTGCTACAAAAACTGAAGTAATTCCTGTGTAGGAGGGATTATATAGGGGAGGACTTCCTCTTGGTTGGCCAGTGTCCATTCACATATAGGTGGCATATAACTCACATAGTCATGAATAGCCTGCTCTGTGTTCCGTGATGTACTCCAAGAAATAGATTTTACAGGTAAGTATGCAGAAAAAAATCCAATTATTTGCAATATTTTGTAACCCAAAAATAAAACAAAAAACATATTTTTCTTTGTTTCTGTATTTTTTTGTTTATTTAGGAAAGAATAAAAAAACTGTGGTGATTAAATACCACCAAAAGAAAGCTCTATTTGTGTTAAAAAAAATTATACAAATTTAATATGGGTGCATTGCTGCATGAGCACACAATTGTTATTCAGTCTGAGCGCTGAAAGCTGAAAATTGGCCTGGGCAGGAGGGGGTGAAAGTGCCTGGTATTGAAGTGGTTTTATGCATATTGTTCATATCAACTGTGCTCCTTTTTTTTCACTGTGTATAAAATGATTCTAGCTAGGCTTACATGTAATAACTATTTAGGCCAGTTACCCACTGGCATGTTCTTCAAAAGTAGAATATAAAAATATTCTGCAGCTAGAATTCTCACATATGGGGTACATATAGTTATATAATACACCTACAGACCTATCTAATAAGAAAAAGGTCAACAAGAAGAACATTTCACATTATCCGTAATCATGTGTTAAACTGATCACACTTAGGTAAATCCAAAGATTTGTTTGGTATGAATTTGCTATAGTATGCTGCCTATTTATTGCACTGTTAAAGTGGAGCTCCACCCCCGCTCCCCATTAAGGATTGGCACATTTGAGGAGCGGGTACCCGAATTTGAAAGGTATCTGCTCCCACTTCCTCTGCGATCGCCTAGGCGACAGCATGAGGAGAGCCGATAAGTGGCATTCCTCAGAGGGACGTCTACACTGGTGATCAGGGCACTGATGATCAGTGCCACCTGTCAGTGCCTATCAATGCCACATACCAATGCCCATCAGTGCACTTTAATGCCACATATCTGTGCCTACCAGTGCCCATCAGAGCTGCCTTTCAGTGCCAACTATCAGTGCCAGTCAGTGTCGCCTAGCCATTCCAGTCAGTGCCACCTATCAGTGCCATATGAGTTCTGCCTTTTAGTGCCCACCAAGTGATACCTGTCAGTGGCCTTCACTGCTACCTCATTAGCGCACATCAGCGAAGGAGAAAATTACTTATTTACAAAATTTAATAACATGGCGCTGAAAGCTGAAAATTGGCCTGGGCAGGAAGGTAGGCAAGTGGTAAATAGCAATAGAGCTAGTTAATAACAGGAAAGTGATATGCATTTGCCATGTTGCATCTTTTTAATTGCAAACGCTTATTTTTTGATAGGTTAATCGCATTTATGTTGTTTTTTTGATCAACCAACAAAAGTGTCACTGATCAAACTATGGAATTATGCTAAAACCCCCACAAAGAGGAGTAAAAGAGTTTGGTGTAAGTATAAATAATAATTTCTGTTGCAATCACTATAATTTAGTTATTAGATAAACTTTCTGATTTACTGGTTTAATTACAAAACTAGCGTGGTATTATAACGACTAACTTATAACATTTAGGCTGGCCATATATTATTCTTTTTTCTCTGTCCAACCAGCGGGTTGAATGAAAAGAAATGAGCCGCTTCCCCCATTCACACACTTGATGTGGATGGGGGAATCACTCCCGTTGAGCCTTTGTATTCTGACAGTGGGGAGCCTTCCACACCTTCAGAATACAGTGATCAGTGTTGTCAGCTATAGCCTTTTTTTCAAACAAACTTTATTTGAAGTGCACAAACTTTACACTTAATTACACTGTTCAGCAGTGACATGCAATCCTGTACAGTGTCCTGAGATAAAATGCAGCATTTCTGCATTTTTTCTCAGATCACTGCAGCGTGTGTGGGTACATGTTCCCTTATCCACACTGTATGCATATGGCGAGCCACATGGATGTCAAATTGGGAGCAGTGGCTGTGTCTGTGCAGCTGCTGTGTGCCAACTGACATGAATGGGACTGCCTCCACGGAGATGCATGCAACACCTGTGCATTCCATGCACGTGTGGTAAGACATAGTCCTTGCACAGGTATATGCTTAGGTATGCCTGTGTGAAGAAGGCCTAGCCGTAATGTTTATGCATACTGTACATACATATACAAACATGCATATAAACATACGTATGCACATGCATTCATACACTTATTGTACATGCATGTACATACATATGCACCCATGCACACATGAACTCAAATACATACACACAAACTCACTGGCTGATGCCACGTTTGGAACCCTCACTGCCGAGTATGATGTTTTTGTACACAATACTGCATGGAATGGAGGCGGTCTGGACTCAGGAATCGGCTTTCTCTGTGCATGGCTCTGCCCCTTACTACCCGCTACTTCTGCTCTGAAGTTCAGCACTTAAAGCCAGTTAGCTGTTGAGAGAAGCCGTACTAGAATACAACAAAAAAAAAAGCGGCTGCCTTGTTGCACTTTTGAATAGGCCTATAGTGGCAAAGCCTGAGGGAGCTCAGGTGGTGCAGAACATTACTCCTCTCCACTGGATTAGGGTCAGAATGCGGGGCGGTCCCAGAGAAAACGGGACTGTTGGAAGGTATGCATAACCTGTTGTCACAGGTATAAATCAAAATAATTACAACTCTAAAACCTGAAAACTGCATTCAAATAGTGACTAAAGAGACTGGTCAGCCCCCTGGTGAAAAGTTGACTTTAAGAAGACATCGGTAATCTAAACAGAACCAAAGCTCTCCCCAGAGTGTCGCATCCACAACCTTCAGGGCAAGACATGAGGCCCATATTCACCAATCTACCAGCTCACTAGGATGTTTGTAAAAGCTGGTGTTGAGACAGGAACATATGAGGACACCAGTAATCATCACTGGAGATGAGCAGTTTACAAGGTGCCTGTATTTACATCTCCTATAGACTAGGTGGCTGAAAAGCTGCCCAGAAAATGACATTTTCTGACAGTAAAGGAATAACAAAGCACAGCTGATTTTTTTAAATTGATTGTAAAGGATATATTTTTTTTATTATTTTTAAGAAAAACGATAGTTTATACTTACCTGTTCTCTGCAATGGTATTGCACAGAGCAGTCCCTTACCAACTCAGTAAGCTGTGTGCTGAGGAAGCACCCAGGTGGGAGTTCTCCAGGCTGTGTGCATCCATAGACCTACCCAGTTTGGCTTGGCCATGCCCCACGATCCCTCCTCATAGAATACGACTGACAGCAGCAGTAATACCAGGAAGAGAGAGGAGCAGACTGGATGGCGCTGGAATGTGATAGGTCTCAGGAAAGTGTTTAGGAATGGGGGAGGTGGAACAGTTATTGGAAGGGTTTTTACCTTAATGCAGAGAATGCAGTAAGGTTAAAAAAAAAAAAAAAAAAAACCTTTTGAGTTTAGAACTAGTTTAAGGACAAGTCAGCTTTTATTAACTAATACACTAGTCTACCATTGCTAGTCCTGCTTACTTACATAATCAGGGCAGAGGAGGCCTCCTTCACTGTTTTCCTCCCCAAGGGCAAAATCATCTTTTGCGCTTGCTGCACCTTTGCAGTAAGCATTTACAGACTTTAATGAGTTTGTACTGTGTAAGTGCAGCCAGCAGAGGCAGATGTCATGGTATAGTAAATATGCAGACAATTCTGGTATTCTATGTTAGATTGGATAGGGTTGTTAACTAGTGCACTTTTTACTGTGTCTAATGTCCTTTAACCTCCTATTGCCAAGGCACAGCCATTACCTATTAATACTTCTTCGGTAGTCAAAGGGTCAAAGCATATCTAAACCTTTGTGAAAAAAGGCAGTACAAAGCCCACTGCTTCCTAGTGCAAGTAAGCACTTTGTTTTAAAATAAAAAATGTTTTAAATTATTAACTGCTTTGCTTTAGAGACTTGCAGGTCACCTCAGTAGAAATAAAAAAGAAATTTTGATTTCTCTGTAATTTCCATATCCTGGAGTACAGTGCACAACACTGTTTATAACCTCTGGTTATAGGCTACTACCTTCAGGTGATCAGATATTAGCAAAGCTTTGTTTGTCACACCCCTTATCCATACTGTTGTAACTCCGGCCCACTCTGTGAGTCCTTAGTTTTTTTTTTTTTTCTAGTTTTGTTTTTTTTAGAAACCAATGCAGCGAAGCAATGACATTTACATGGATAAATAAAGTGCAGCGCTAAAAACAACAAGCAAAAAGTTTGATCTAAAAAGTTCGATCTGGAATTTGTTATCAAATGTTCGTTAAATCATCGATATAATAAAGTGGACACAGCTATGAGGAATCCGGAAGAAATGGCAGAAATGCGCACTCACCGACCGCGCATAGGAAATGCGCATGTGTGTATTAAATTCCACAGATATCGATCTCCCTCAGGAAGGGGCATCATCAAACGATAGTCTGCTGGGCTCACAGGACCTCCTTAGGATCAGGATAGATCGACCGGATAAAGAATCCCTCCAGGTGAAGGCTTCCCTCCTCTGGATATAGTTGGAAGCTGTGTCTGCTGACCCCTCAGTAAGGGGTAAAAAGTGGAAGAGTACCCATAGTGTAGTATGTCAAAAGAACTTTATTGGTAACAGACTTAGTGCAGGGTAAATCAGTAATGGTGCTGGCAAATGCCCAAAAATAAATATATATAGTGCAGGAAAACAAAATTACTAACCCTGAATGGAGTGGCCGCCAGACCTCCTCGTGGTCTGGGCGGCAATAAGGCGTCACAGGCTGTCAGTTCTCCTGAGGCCTTTCGTGCTAAGGCACATCATCAGAGGGGATACTGACAGCTCTGTGACGGACGCCAAATCTTTAAATAGTAAAAAACGGGAGTCGCGCATGCGCACTAACTCGCCGCCATTTTTGGAGAGACCAGGCAACTGCGCATGCGCGCGCGCGGCGGCTAGGCGCCATTTTGCTGTGGATATAAAGAACTGTCAGCTGGAGTGCATTACACATCGCTGGCAGAGCACACAGAGCAGTGCATTTGAGCCAGAAACAGTGGCTCTTAATCCCAGGGGAGGTGATCAGTCTAATGACCCTGGTTTTCATAAAAATAAGACAGCCACAAGCCACTTCCCAGATAGTGCAGCACCAAATTGGTGATTAAATGAGGGGAATAAACTAATATACCCACGGCATAAAAAGGTGCTCCGGGTGCTCAAATCTGTAAACTAATTAAAATATAGCAAAAAATATACAATAATATGTACAATTATATTAAAAGAGCGGGGACAATTTCTAATGTACAATAATCGCCCCCGCCAAAAAAGACTGATTTAACGGCATTTTGAGAAACCACTTTTTTGCCAAGGAAATTAAAACGATAGCTGAGATACATTTATACACAGCGATCTTAAGCGGATAAAACGCTTATATGCCACTGAATAGTGGTACTGAGTCCCAGGGAGATAATCATAAATGGCGAGTCCCACTACTAATTGATTATTCACCGACTGGTGAGATATCAGGAAAAATACACTAATTTGTCCATGGCATATAAAGGTGCTCAGGATACAACAGTAAATAATATACGTAATAAAAATGCTTAAATATATGAATAAAAAGAAGGAAATATATTCCTATGTAAAAACACCAATAATAATACGCTAAAAACCATTCATAAAATAATGAATAGGATAGCATAAAATAAATAGGATAGCTATAAAAATTGTGAAAAAAAGCCCATATTTGTCAATCCTAGATATTCAGTCAATAAAAGCCACAAACATAACTAAAATATATTAATGGGTGTACCGGATGCTAATTGTTTGCTATAAAGCAATTAATATCGATTTCAATATTGTGTCCCCTAGGGTATAGGGTATCTAATTCGTAGACCCATTTTGTTTCTGATTGCGATACGGCTCTGGTTTTATTCATGCCTCTCCAGTGTGGTGATATCACATCAATTCCCACAAACTTAAGGGAGGAGGGATCATTATTATGGAACATTCTATAATGATTTGAAAGTGAATGTTCCCTGTAGCCCTTCTTGATGTTGACTACATGCTCTCTTAAGCGGTCACGAAGTCATCTAGTCGTGCGCCCCACATACTGTTTATGGCATGGACATTGGAGGAGATACACCACGAATTTACTATTACATGAAATGAACCGATCGATTGTGTATGATTTCCCAGTTGTAAACGATTCAAAGGTATTAATTCTACATTTCCTAATACCATTGTATTTACAGATGACACACTTATTACAAGGGTAAAACCCTTTTAGCTCATCAAAAAATGTGGTGCCAGTCGGGGGGGTTCACTACGTTCGGTGCTATTTGATGCCTGATTGCTGTCGCTTTCCGGAAAATGATCTCCGGTTTTTCAGGCAAGATTTTAGAGTGTGGGATCCAGTTTCAATAAGTTCCAAATTTTTCTTTATAATATCTAATGACATTTACAGTTGAGTCAAAATTCTTTTTATCTT